AATATTAGCTTCGTTTAAGTTCCCATTCACCCTTAGGTTGCATTATAGGTTGTAACTATTTGTCTATATATAACTCTATATAAAAAAATACCGCACTCGAAATAATTAAAACGGGTCGAGTGTTTAATTTATGGCGTGATAATATTGCATTTATAGTGAACGTTATCGGGATTTGGCGAGCAGAAGTACTTTCATTTACACCAAGTAATTCGTCTTTAGTACATCGATAAAATAATCGCTCCTCCTTTCCATACCTCCAAACCAGAATCATATTAATAGCGCTCCCCTCATGCATGGACGACGATGGATTTTGAGGGGATAGAAAGTACACATATTTCATCAGTAAATCGCTATGGTTCTGTGTTTTTCATGACGATAATAGTATTACCTTTGAATGTGTTCGAAATCCAGAGGCCGCTGATGAAACAGATTTAACATGATTATCTTCCCACCTTTTCTAGAAAAGACGATCCAAACAGTATAAAAAACAACGACAAATCTCAATCTTAAAATTTTTATTTCATCGCTACACAGTGTTTCACGTACAATGTCAGAGGCGTAGCCAGGGCTGGCAAAATTTTGCCCCCCCCCCCTGGCAAAATTTTGGTGTCCCCTTGATAAAATGTATTGTATAAAAAGGGAATCCTTGATTATATAGCTTCATGCTGTCAATAATGCAAAAATTCTGTAGAATATATGCTTTGCTGGGCATGGGTGTGAAACTTAAAATCACTTGTTCGCTTATTTGCGGCACACAGCTTGAAACACATACCTTTTCTAACCCTAATTACTTCAATATGTATTAAATGAGGGTTAGACGAAGTTTAAACCAATCAGTTTCTTTTTACAAGTGAATTTTTAATGCGGGCTCGGCAGTGGCACCGTGGCCGAAGGGGAGGGGGGGGGGGATTGGGAGGGGGAGACCCGTCGGAAAATTGAGACCTGTCGGAAAATTGTCAATAGAGAGTTTGAGCAAGACAACGAAGTACGAAGACGAAGGCATATACTTGCCAATTTTTGCCCGTTGCACATTATCTTGCGCATACTGAGTTGGACGTCACTGGTGGTTGCTGAACGTGTCTTCCCAGGTGTCGCTGTTTATGAATACTGACCTAATTCTTGCCCTGACCCAGAAAAAACCCCAGCAAGACATGAAACTATATCCCGTCTTTGTCCTTCTGCCTTCGTTTGGAACGAAGTTCACAACGAATTTTGCCAAAATATTTGCGAATTTTTCGTTGTGAACGAAGGCAGAAGAACGAAGACGAGATATGGATTCATGTCTCGCTGTTTTGTCTTGATCAGGGTAAGGATTTGGGTCAGCATTCATAAACAGCTAGAAATAAATCTCTAATCTGTCTTCACGCCTGACTCTAAACTCAGAATGCGTAAGATAATGTGCTAGACAGGCAAAAATTGTCAACCACGGTCCACGTTGTCCGACTTCGTTCTCTTGCTCAAACTCTCTAATGTTGTCGGAATCTTCGTGGTGAAGCATCGGAAAAAGTGATACGGAAATCGGGAAAAGTGCTATGAAAGCAATTGTAATGTTATTGTCCAGAAAAATTTTTTATCGAAAAAGTTGTCGCCGGGG